AGGTATGAATAAGATCTTCATTTTAAAATGATAAAGCTAAGACTCAAAGCATTTAGGGTACAGGCTCAAAGCCATAGGTTAGTGAGGCAAAGTCAAACTTCATTTTGCATTTTTCTCTGTCTGCCTCAAATCATTGCCGCTGCACCCAGATCAGAGCTGAGATGCGGTGGAAGGAAGAGCTACGGCACCAGGCTCTGACCTGGCTCCTCACTGGGGCTCAGGAGTTATGGGCTGGGTGCCTTCGGGCCAGTCCCTCTACTCTAGGGTGGACTTTCCATATCGGTAAAACCAAGATTTGAACTAAATCACCAAGGTCCCTTCCAGGAAATGATTATAGTGAAAAGCATTCCATGTATCTTTTATTATTCTTTCTTTTCGAGCAGAGGAAATAAAATAATTTTCAAACCTCCCAAGATGGGAACTTTCAAATCAAACTCGTTCATGTGAACCTAGTCTAATCCAAGGCGGTGAGTGAGGCCACATGGGAAAGGAGAAAGGTGGGCCTCAGGTAGTGTCGGGAAGGAAGGGGGTCCCGTTGCAGTGCTGCACTGGAGTTGGTCCATCCTGAGAGATGGTGGTGAGATTTTTAGGAGTTTTGCAAGCTGACTGACGTCAAACTGAGAGTTTAAAAGCAGCCACAGTGGGAATATTTACACCATGGAAATCAGCAAATGCTACAAATGATGCCATCCCCGTTGCCCACCCCGGAGCGGGTTGTCCAGCATCTACCACTGTGTCTCTGCTAGAGGCTCTGCAAAAAGTCATAAGCAACAGGGACACTGGGGAGTTGAGGCTTTCAAGGTGTGAGGAGGCTCTGGGACCCAGATGAGCTCCTTTGTCAGCACAATGCTCAGACAGGGGCACCTAGGCCACCCATTCCACGTCTCTTCCAGGAGTAAGAACACAGACCCTGCAGCAAACAGTGGGGTTCAAATCCCTGCTCCCAAATACCAGCCATGTGACCTTGAGTAAATTACTTAAACCAGTCTGCCTAGGGTTGTTCATTTGAAAAACTGGGGAGGAATATAACCCTTGCACCTCCCTCACGGGGTGTTTGTAAAGATGGATGAGCTAATCCACAGAAAGGATTTAGAACCGTGCCCGGTACAGCAGGTCTGGCCATTGGTGTTCCTTTACTGTGCTGCAGGGCAAGCACGCTGTGCAGAGACCGGCCTGTCTGCAGCTGGGGGACCTTGGTCTCTCTAGGCCCATTTCCACATCTGCAAAGGATGGGATTGGATGGAGTAATCCCGACCCTTCTCTAAAGCCAGTGTCGCTTGATCCTGCTGGGTCTGCCCGTGATGAACACGGCTCTCAGAGGGATGTCTGCCCAAGGCCTCTTCTTTGCCCTGCCCCCTGGGCCCACAGTGCCCTTCTTCAGGCTCCCTCCTTGACAGGGGCAGGCCCACAGGTTCTGAGCCAGCCCTCTAAAGCCAGCTCATCTCAAGTGACCAACTCAAGGGTCTCTCAGCCTTGGAGGGCCCTTTTCTCCTTGCCCAGTTTAGGAGTGAGGCTGCTACACCAGCTCCTCCAGGAAGCCTTCCCTGATGCCTGGGTAGAGTCAGACTGCCTTCCATGAGTCAGCGCCCACACTCCAGTACTGTCTGTAGCCCCTGAGCGCTTAACGCACCACGCCTTGGGTATCTGCCCAGCTCCCCACCAGCCTTGAGACAAGAATTTGTTGTTTTCTTCCGCACCCCTTTACCCAGCCAGAGGCAACCCTCAGTGATGGAATAAGGGAGGGATGGAGGGGAAAATACTTGGAGAACTTTCTGAAACAAACACTTTCTGCAACAAGCCCTTGCCCAAGGATCCTATGCCGTCCCCAGGCCACACACCCTCTCCTCCCCCCCACAATGCCATCCCAAGCTTTGACTTCCCGCTGCCGAGTGACGCCTGTCACTCCACACGGCGGCACTGCTACCTCCAAATGGTGGTGTGAGAAAAAGAGAAATTGCCCTGATCAGGGCTGGGTAATGAGCCACGCAAGGTGAGCAAGCACCACATTCCTCACTAATCTTGGTTGGTCCAGACCTAGCAAGCTCCACTCACTCTCCATCAGCCCAGGGGACATTTCCAGCTGGTGGCCTGCCAGGGGGCTGGCTTCCCACAGTCCCCTCCGTAGGGACCCCGGAGCTCTTGGGGCTTTAGGTGGAGAAGGAGGCAGGCAAGGACAGAGGGCAGGCCCCAGGGCACTTGCACTCCCCTGCGTGTGAGCAGCACCTCCCAGTCCCAGTGCTTGAAGAGGCCCAGGGGTTAGTCCCCCTGACCAAGCCCCTGCCAAGGAGTCTGCCCCTCCTCCAGCCACAATCCTTGCCCCTCCCCTGCTTACTTCTTCCCTATATCAAGGACTGACATCTGACGTCCCATAATTTCTATGTGGGTTTTTTGGTTGTTTATTGTCCTCCTCCCCCAAAAGAATGTAAACTCTGCAAGGGCAAAGGTTTTCATCTATTCTGTTCATCTGCATCCCCGGGACCAAGAACACTGTTTGATCTTCACTGGTGCTTGATCAATATGTGTTGAATGAATGGAAAAATATACTTCCCACCCTCATCCAAAGACACACACACACACACACACACACATACACACACACACACGCCTTCCATCCAAACCAAAGCTCTGGCTCTTAGCTATTTCCTGCTAAGATGGTAATAATGGAAGTGCTGGTTGATGAGGAGCTTAAGACATGATCATTTTATAGAGGCACTGAATTTTATAGGGGAGACCTTAGATGATAAAATCTCTCATGTACACACACACACACGCCTTCCATCCAAACCAAAGCTCTGGCTCTTAGCTATTTCCTGCTAAGATGGTAATAATGGAAGTGCTGGTTGATGAGGAGCTTAAGACATGATCATTTTATAGAGGCACTGAATTTTATAGGGGAGACCTTAGATGATAAAATCTCTCATGAGCAAATAGATTAAAGCTATATTGGGTGAATTATGAGTGAAATATTTTGGGGGCCCTCTCCTGCCCCCAAAGTGCCCTCAGAGTGCCAAAGCACCTAGGGGAGAGTCAGGCCTCCAAGTCACACAGCCACCAGCCAAGCCTCCCAACCCGGTTCAGCTCTCCCTGGTTCCTGGGGAAGTCGCATCGGCTGTCTGGACCTCTCCCCTCCCCCAGTCTACCCGCTTTGCCCCTGAGGCCTCATTCTGTCTCTGTCTGGCTGCCAGAGCCTAGAGGTGGAGTTTGGGGGATTTGGGCTCTCCAGGGGAGCGGTTCCCAGCCAGAGCCAGGGGTGGCCCAGTCTGCCATCCCCCAGGGTTCCCTAGCGTTTCAGCTAGGTGTTACTAGGTCAGGAACCTCAGGTGCCCAGAAGAGCTGGCACACTGGCATTCTGAGCTTCAGACACCACAGCAAAGACCAGAATATTATGAATGAAGCAAGGGACCCCACAGAGTTCATGGAGTTCAAGGTTCAGTGAGTCGACTGATGAAGCATCTCCTTCCTGAGCATCTCATGTGTACAAAACCTCAAAATCACTCAGATCAGACCACACCCCACCCTCAGCTCTTGGGTGGCACCTGTCCTGGGGCAGGGCCAGCAAGGAGGGCTTCTGAGCAGTCCTGGAGTGGGGTGGGGTAGAAGAGGTGCTGGGACTCCAGCCAAAACTGCTCTCTTCTCTAGAGGTGGGAAGTATATAACAAGCTCTGGGAAGCCCAGGCCCCTAAGTGTGGCCCTGCCGTCCATTTGGTCTCTGCTGATCTGCTGGAGATTTCTCTGTCCCATCTCCTTGGGTCGTCCATCATCTGTCCCCCTGCCTGAATCCACAGGAAGGGACAGCCTCGTAAAGGAGCCAGGTCTGACCCTCAGAGCCCTGTCAGCTGCCCAAGGCACTGCAGTCCCCTCTTCCTTGGGACCTTCACACTGGGTCTGCTGTTTGTACTGCCCCCATGGGCTTCAGATGGAGCCAGCTAGCCAGGAACAGGTGGATATAAGAGTTCTCCATCTCCCACCCTCTCCACAGGGCCATCCTGTGTCCTGTTCCCACTGTTCTCCATGCAAAGCCCCATGGAAGCTCAAATGACTCCTGGAATACAAACATAAGAATGTAGGCGGTTGTTTTCCATAGGGGACTCTGGAAAATGATGATAATGACTTGGGATTGAATAGAGACACACAGTGTCCACTTGCCTTCCCATGATCTTATTTAAACCACATGACAATCCCACAAGTTTGATGGGTTTGCTAACCCCACCGTACAGATGAGAAAACCGAGGCTTAGCAAAGTGCAGTGACCTGCCCAAGGGAGCACCATTGTCAGGGGTGAGTCCTGGTGCTAGTTCTCTCTCTGCTCTGCCACACCGCCTCTTGGAAGCCTTCAAGGCACAAATGTTGACTCTCCCATAGGGACTGTAATGAACAGCACTGGCAGGCAGGTGGCTTGATGCCACATCACCATGCACGGTGCTCCGGAAGGCTGGGAAGGGTTTGGCTGAGTCCAGCTGCACTACTTAGGGGCCTGGTGACTTTGGGCAAGTCAACAAGCCTCAAGTTTGAGCTTCTGTTTCCTCATCTGTAAAATGATGAGGAATAACACTCACCGTTTTGAAAGGAACAGAGGAGAATGTGGGATGCTATGGATTCTGGGAAGCCCCATGCCCTGGAGAAGGGCCATGGTCACCACAGCCCCTGACGGCAGCCACAGCTGAGTGTGTGTGACGTACAACAGAACTGTGACAAAGCAGCCCCACAGCTTATTGCAACTTCCATAAACAAGGGCTTCTGTCTCCGTCTCACGGCTCCCTTTGCGAAAGGAACAAAGAGGACCAGGTGTCTGTCTGAGGGAAGCATGGGAGAAGCTGTGTGGAGCAGGGAAGGGCTCAGGTCACAGAAGATTTGGACTTGGAGAGAGGCTTTCCTTATAGCTCAACCAGGGGGAGCCCAGATGGGACTATGGGAAGAGGAGAAATGGCTGCACTCAGGGACAGTGCTAAGACCAGCTTCCAAGGAAAGGGAGACAGGATTTCAGACCCTCTTGTAGTTACCTGCTAATGAAGGACTCTGGGACATGAAAAGCGCCTTCCACGTGTTTATGACTATCCCAGGTGCCGGCTCTCTGTCTTCTGGCACCAATGCCACATCCACTGAGTTCACCCACCATGCCTCTGTCCTCTGCTCCTGCACTCCTGTGTCCACCGGGCTCCAGAAACTCGAAGGCACTGGGCCCTCAGATCTGCCGATAGCACCTAGATCCCGTAGGAAAGCAATGAAACTCTCAACCTTCTGTTTTCTCTCTCAGCCTCAACTACAGGAAATGCCCACATATGCAGTCAGCACTTTAGGTGAAAAGAGGGGCCAGTGAGAGACAAAACCTAGGGATAGATACCCAGGCAAGCTCCACTGTAGTCTATGTGAATGGCGTCCCTGGACTTGTCACTGTGCAAGGTGGCTATGTAGATATTATATGGTCTTCAAAGACCCCCCTCCTCAACTTGTGCTTTATTCCTTGGCCAAGTTTGTCACTCTTGCCTGAGCCCTCACTTGGAACAGCGCCCTCCAGAGCTGTTCATTGCTCAACCTGCACAGCCATGCACAAGGCTGCAAAGCCTCCTCCCGCCTTTGGGGTAAGTTCTCTCCTTCCTGGGGGAAGCTCCTCTGTCCCTCATGCCACAAGAGCCACCCTAGCAGTTCTGTAGACATGTCTGGATCCCAGCAGTGGGCCCCAGTGTATGTTCAAATTAAGACTTTGAACATATGAATATGTGGCATATTTTCCACATTGTCTCTTGATGATCATTTCGGGCCCCCTAGTGTCCCAGCAATTCCCCCAAAACAAAGGACTATAGAATAAATGGAACTCTGAAGCTCTTCTAATCCAGCTCTACCATTTTGTGAATGGCAACATAAGGCCTAGAGAGGGGAAGAGACTTGCCCAACACCCCACAGCAGTTAGTGACAGAGCAGGGATCTGAGCTCCAAGTTCAGTGCTCTGCCTGGCACCCCGTACTGTCCGGCACCCCATACTGTTCCTCCCCATGGATACAGAGGTGGACAGTGCAGAATCACTGTGTATGCACAGAGCCCCTGCACTGCTCTGCTCCCACTGCCTTCGCCATAAAGGAATCAAAAGGCCTTCTCTTTTTTTTTCAGGGGGCAGTGCCCCATTGTCTTCTGGGAAACAGGCCCCTGGGGTGGGCCAGCTGAGCCAGAAGGCAGGACAGGAGAGCACAGCTTTGTTGCCAGTGTCTACAGAGCCTGAAGATCCAAATGGCCCCTGGAGACATGGCCCAGGGTCTGCCTTTGGTTCAGGCTGGGCTTGGCTGCCCAGCTCTGCCCAGTTAGCCCTGTGGGCCCCAGACACCAGATGCCTGGCTCCAAGTGCCAGTGCTGACCTCCTGCAGGCTCGTCTCTAGCCTTGCAGGCCTTTGCCCACAAAAGCCTGCTGAAGGTTCCACGCCCATGCTCCATACCCAGCCAGGCCCAGGGGGACCCACAGACCATCATGCTCCCCTCCACCCTCAGCTGCTCCCCTAGCACCACTCCCTGCCCCCAGAGCTAGCCAGATTCCAAGTCCCTCTCAGCCAACGGTCCTTCAGATAACCAGGATTGTTCTTCCTGGTTCTCAGGCACAACCCCAGATTTGGACAAACAAACCTGCCAGGCCACCTGGTAGCACTGGGACCTGGATTCAATAACCACTCTGCTTTGCAGAAGCTACCGCTTCTTGAGGCTTCTCCTCCCTTTGTGACCAGGCAGGGTGGGCTTGTCCCAGGGCTCTCCCCGTCTGTCACCTCGCATCCTGCTGGAAGCCCTGCTTCCTCTCCCGGTCACCACCTCAGTTCTTCACTGTGTCCTCCCACCCCATCCAGTTAGATCCGTCCCATCCACCTCTCTGCCCTCCATCTCCTACCCAGCAGTCATCTCCTGCCTTTGCCTCATGCACACACAGGGACCAAGTCGCTCCTGACTGTCGGTGGAAGCAGGAGCCAGAAGCCAGGGGCTGTTCCCCGCTTTGGAGCGGCCTGCTAAAGAAAGCTGCCCCTGGGGACTAGGTCAAGCATAACAGGGGCAGGAGGTGGGGAGTTATTAGAGGAAAATGGAAAGGGACAGGACTACATAGCATTCCTTCCTCTGTGGATCAGAGGAAAATGAACAGCCTCAGTCTAAGCTGCCCATAATTAACCGGGGTCTCTGGCTTATACCCCTGAGCATTTGCCGGGGACTTGCAGTGGGGACATTGGAGAAGGGAAGAGAGCCTTGCTCAGATGTAGTGGAATGTGGGCATCCAGAATCCTCTCCCCTTTGTCCCTCCTGAAAGGATGAAAGTGAAGGTCACGAGTCTCAAAGACAGTGTTTTGTTTCTTTGCATTAAGCATGACCATAAACAATTCTAATAAAATGTAAATAGATCCGAGAGGAATTAGAAACTTACCTTGGCCTCACCTCACTCTCCTTCAGTGGGAAATAAGGACTCAGGTGAGAGGGCTGCTAAGGCCCCTTCTTGCTCAGACATTGTGCTCCTGGAAATGTCAGGGGAGAGGGGTTTCCCAGCCTCCAGGGTGCCCGGAGGGCCCGGCTGTGGAGGAGTGGGGCTGGGGCGTGAGCTGGGCAGAAGTCAGGAGGGAACCTGCTGGTTCATGCTTCTGTCCAAAGTTCACCTTGCTAATAAGTGTGCCTGAGCCGAGGGCCCTGTCTGTGCCTCCTGCGCCTGTCCACCAAGCTGCCAGGTTTCTAGGATGCATCAGAGGTGCAGCACCATGGAACCCCTCACTCTAGACTCAGGCAGGAGCCATTCTCACCTTCAGCCCCTCCTTTCCACCACCACAGGGGTCCCAGCCTCCAGCCATCCCAACCTCTCCCAGGGATTGTTAGCTGAGCTAGTGGTGCCCTGCCCCAGGGCAATGACATTTTTAAAGTCCTGCAAGGACAGGAGGGTGAACCCAAAATGCTAATAGAGGAATTCCCAGAGTCCTTGGGAGAACTGTTCCCAGATGGGAGTCTTCAGGGTCCCACAAGTCATTACCCGTTGAGGAGCACCAGCGTCCCCCCAGGTAAAGCGGGCTTCATTTATTCTTTCCATCAAGAAATAGTCACCTGTACCAGGCATTGCTTTAGATGCTGGAGATACAACAGTGAATTGGGTAATGAATCTCACCCTCAGCACATCTTGCAGTCCAGCAGGGGAGATGGCAAACCTCCTCTGGTGTTCCCTGCACTCCTTTCCGCCCACCCCCTCCTGAGTGTCCTCCTCCCAGAGCCCATCTGCTGGCTGCAGGGCAGTGGCCCCAAGCGCATGTATTGATCACACCAATTGGTGAGCCATGCCACCAGAACCAACAGGTGTTCCTCCCCAGCAAGGAGCCTGCGCCCATACCTTGGCACACCAGTTGCCAGGCTAGACTGTGTAAGGCAGCTCTGGGAGAGGAGGCAATCTCCCCTGGGGCCTCTGCTCTCTGGCCTTGCCTCAAACCAAAGGCCTTCTAGTCTAGGAAGCAGCTTCTCTTACAAGCACTCCCATTTCAGGACCTACTAGGGCAGGCAAATGCCATTCTGCCCAGAAGGTGAGCAGAGTCCCCCCATCAGAGAGCCACCCACCCAGCAGCTTGAAAGGCCTTTGATGTCGCCCTCCTCTCCAGTCCTTGGATATTCGTCTGCTTTTCTTTCTTCCTATCAGAATCCTACCTCTCCTTTCCAGCCAGGTTCTCCCACTTACACAAAGCCTTTAATTCCCGACCATTCCCTTGCTCCTGACACAGGGACACCTTCCCCAGCCCACTGTGCAGAGCCATGGGAGATAAAACAAGGTCATGGGTGACACTGGTGCTCTGGGTATGCCAGAGCCAAGGCTTTATTCACTCAGTCTGCACAACAAGCTTCTGAGAAACATAGTGGCCTTATCTCCATTTTACAGATGTAAAATCACATGCTCAGAGACAATGCACAGACACACAGATAGCAAGTCACAGGGCCCGAATTTGAACACAGGCTACAGTCTGTATGCCTAACTGCCTACACTAAGCTGCCCCCAAAGCAGTCTGTTAGTAAGGAAATGCTGTACAAAACCAGAACAGTATTATCCCAAATGCTTCTGCCCCCTCATGCGCACCTTCATGCCACTCCCACCCAGCCCTCTCTGATTTGACACCTGGAAACATAAGACTGCCCCTGTCCTGGGGTGCAGCTCCCAGAAGTACTTAACCCACACTCACAGAGCTCCCCCACGACTCCCTCAGAATCCTGTACTCCTCCGTTCACAGCCCCTCCTGGGTCTACCAGCTGCCTCTGGCCCAAGGATCTAGGAGCTGGTGTCAAGAAGAGGGCTCCAGAGATGGGAGGGAGGCGAGGAAGAGACAGGGAGGCCTGGCCAGATCCTGGCGATGGATGGGCTGTGCTCTGTGCCGGCCGGCATTGAACCGCCTGGGAGCTGAAGATGGGAGCAGGGCAGTGATGTACAGCCGCCTGCCAGGGAAACCAGCCTAATGCCTAATCAGATCACATAACAGCTCCCAGACCCATCACTGCCCCCAACCATTCCTCTATCCTCCCCTCCCAGCTCACTGACCTCCACCCTTGCTTCCCAGCCCTACCTCACTCTGAGGTCTCCAGCTGACCCAGCTGATTTTATAAATGGCCCTTTCAGGAGGTGGGCACCTGGGCTAATTGAATCAGTGCCCAGGAGGCAGGAGGCAGGAGGCTGGTTAGCATCACAGCTGAAAGGTGGTGGCAGAAACAGCTTGAGTGCAGCCGTCAGGGAGGAGGCCAAGCAGGCAGAGAGGCCAGGCAATCTGGGCCTTGGTATATTCTGAAGCTCCAGGGAGGGAACTCACCAGGGGGCCCTGGGAGTGGGCATGGGCGTGCGTACACGCAGACACACACACACCATTCCTATGCTCTGGAAAAAAAGAAAACACATGGGGAGGCAAGAAAGAGAAGAAAAGAAACAGGAAGAATGATGCAGGAGGCTTGTATGTGCACATAGGCAGTTATACGAATCTGTGTAAACATCTCTGTGCTGGGCACCTGACATGATGCCATTGTTATCGCCCCTGTGCATCTCTGCATAATAATTGAAGCAGTTTCTGAGTGTTCTGGTCACAGCAGAGCATATCATGGTATCCACAGCTGCCAGGTAGCAGCCCCTGGAGCTAAGAGACCCTTTCTGTGGACCTGTCACCTGGTCTTACACTGCCCTGGTACCTTCGAGACCACTCTGTTTCCTCACCGATGAATTCACCCCTTGACAGCAGCGCAGCATAGAAACACCTCCAGGAGCACTTTACCTCTGTGCTGCTGGAGGAGATTAAGCTCTAAGGCTGGTCCCTTCATTAACCCACTCCTTGTACATCGCCGCATACCCACTCTGCATGTGAGCTCCACGGGGGGAAACAGGCCTCCGGTGGGGCTGTTACACGCACTAACAGAGGAGCAGTGCACATGTCACAGGCGACAGTACGGTTGACGCTGGCTGCGCTGGTGCCTACAGGTTCTCTGCAGGATGACCCACCGCCCATCACATTTTCTGAGAGGGACTGTGACAGCACGGTCAGCGTCCTCAACAACGATCTCAAGGACTTTCATTACTCCTCGCAACTTCCCCAAATGCTTCACTTCCCCCTGCCCCGCCAGCCCTTACCCCACCTTTCCCTAGGGCCCCAATCTACCACTTCCCTTTTGAGCAAAGCTAGCATCATCAGAACGGAAAAGCTCAGAAGTCCCTGGATCCCGACTGGGAAGGGAGGAGAGAGGGGAGGGGCAATTTTCAGCTTAGGGTCCCACCCTCTAGAAGGCAGGATCCACAGGTCTCCAAGTGGGATTTGGAGGACCTGAAGGGGACAAGCTCTGAAATGCAGATTCCTGAACGTATCCTCCATTTAGGGTAGTAAATATTTAAGTTAATCTCGTAGACCAAGCCCCTACACCCTGCAGCCGCTAAGCCCCCAGCAGCCTTTTCCACAGGCTAACACTGCCCCCTGCTGGGCTGAGCTGGGCCGTCACCCCAAATGCTCCCTAATGGAAAAAGAAACCGAGCATCCTTGCCTAAGAGCTTGCCACCCACCACCCACCCTCCTACCCCCGTGGCTAGGAGAGGGAGCAACTGAAACTCAGAGGCATTAGGCCTTCTTGCCTCCAGTGAATGCAGAGGCTGGAATAAGAGGGTGGCCGCAGAGACAGCCCTCTGGCACAAACAAGAGGCGAGGCTCGTGGAAGGCCTCCCGTCTGTGTCCATCCTGTTCGTCGACTGCCTCAAATGCCTTTAATATGGGGCTGAGGCACTGCACAGACCAAGATAAAGCTTTAGAGCACAACACACCTGGGAGGCTGCCGCACAGTCTGGCAGTCCGTAGGTCTCCATCTCATTTCCCTCCGAGCTCTGGAGACCCCTTCCAGCTGCTTTTAGGACTTGTCTAGCTGGATACCCTGAAGCCAAAACCTCAGCACACCAGAACCTAAGTTCATCTTCCTCACAAAACCTGAATCTCCAGAAACCCCGTATCTCTGCATTTGACACCCAAATGACTCCTAGATCTGCAGGCTCCATCTCTACGTCTTTTGAATCCAGTCTTTTCTGAACATCTTCCAACTCAGCCACACCACACCACTGTCCACCAGCACGCCAGTCCACCGTCCACAGGGTTTTGGGGTTCTCACCCTGATGGGCAGCGCTTATGGGGCTCTCTGCTCAAAGGCTTGTTGTTCCTCCTGCCCCTCTAATTAGGAACAAATCCCTCCACAACATGGTCGGAATTTGCCTTCCCAACCAGGTGGTATCCTCTCCACTCTGAATGTGGAGCTCTTTTCTGAGCACGCACACACCTCCCCCAACTGTCATTTACACTCACTTTTCTACCCAGTATTCTCCCTTTGCACCCCCTAACCTTCATCAAATTCCCTCCCACACCTGAAGGTCCACCTTAAATGCCACCTTCCATATGAGGCCTTTCTCATTCCCCCAGCAAACATCTCCTCTGCCCAAAAGGTGTATGGCACTATGACCCCTCTTGTGATAGACATCTGTGCCCTCTGGGCTGTAAGCATCTCGGGGCCAGGGCGGTCTACAGCACAAACCGTGCTGTATTTTATTGGCTAGACTGGCTCAGAGCGGAAACAGACTGACTTCTATTTCCATGAATGCAGGAAGATAAGAACACAGGGCTCTCCTGGACCCAACTCTCTGTGGGGAAATGGATGCCAATGGCCTGCAGAGCTCATAGAGCAGGAAGGTTCTCAGAACCCATATGGCGGAGCCCCGACATTTACAGAACAAGAGGTCTAGTGTCAGGCAAGGCAAGGGAGCAGCCAGTCAGCCCTTCCTTTCCTCCAGTCCTACTTTTCCCACCTGTACCCCACTTCCCTATTTTTCTGAACCTAAGCTAGGGCCAACAAAGGGTTAGAGGTGCTTGCACATCTCTCCCAGGGTGCCCTGACTTTCACAGACCTCTGACTCTATGGACAGATGCAAGAGACCCAGCCCAGCCCAGGCCCTTGCTGCTGGAAGAGGAAATACCAAAGGCCGCCCGCTGGAACACTTGTTCCTGGGGCTATGAGAGTCCCATCCCTGCCCCACAGCATCATGCCACACAAAAACATTCCAGAAATGTTTAATGCCACAGGAAGCTGCAGCCATCCCCCACATGCCCAGAGATAGGGCTGTCTGCGAAGGGGGACAGCAGGTGGGAGGCCTGCACAAGCCAAGGACCCAGGGCACTTTGTCGACATGCTTTTGTCCTCTGACCTAAATGCCCAAGGCTCCCTGTAGGCCCAGGGAAAGAAAGAAGAGGAAGTGGGAAAGAGTAGGAGGAGGGTGGGTCTCTCAGGGCGTTCTTCCTGCTTTGGGACAGTGACCCACACAGCAGGCCCTGGGAGGGGCGATTCCAGACTGAGGCAGGCCAGACCTACATGTTCCAGAAGCAGCACAGTGGGGCTGCTGGGGCGCAGTGGCCAGGGGGAGCCACCAGCAGAAACAGAGGGGAGGCCCGCCTTCCCTGCCCTCACCAGCCTCCAAGCGCCACCCTGGTACACACAGGGCGCTGCCGGGGCTCCTGCTGGATGGAGTCCACATATCTGCCCCCCGTCACTTTGGGCTTTTCTTAAGTATGACATTGTCATACTCAGTTCCCTGTGGCCAGCCAGAGGCGGAGAAGTCCTGCCCCACTGGGCTGACGTGCTGGAGGCCATTGGGGTCCCTGTTGGCTGCAGCCTGCCTCCTCCAGGCCTCACCTCGGGGCTCCTGCGGGCTGTCATACAGGGACAGGGCAGCCACTCCCTCAGGCTCATCATATATGTGGTCGGGCTGAGGGGGTGGGTGCTCCTCAATGCTGTCGTACAGAGGGTCCATCGGGGGCTGGGGAGGGACTGCCAGGATGCTCCGCAAGCCCTTTCCCAGGTTTCGGGCCACTGCATCAAAGGGCACTGCGTATTCCCCTTCTGGGCCCCGCGGCCGAGAGCTGGGCACTGGGGTGGTAGGCGACGGTGGCGGCAGGGAGTCATGCGGCCGGGAGTAGGGGCTCTCCAGCCGGGGCAGCCCCGTGGGGACTGTGGCTGGCTGGGTTTGGGGCCCAGGAGGGGTGTTCTTCTGGGCAGAGATGGCCTCTTCCAGGGCCAAGAAGATCTCATTGCCTTGCCGGGTTTCAAACTCAAAGTTGCCCTCTCCAGAGATGCAGCGCCGGCCTGCCTCGAAGGAAAAGGTGACCTGTGTGGAGGGGGGGAGGTAGATTATTGGCCAGGCCACAGGGCAGAGCTGCTTCTCCTGGACCCAACTCCAGCCACCAACCTGTCACCTCCAACCTCCTTCCTCCAGAAACTGCCCAAGCCTTCTCCCAAGCTGTGTCTCCTCCCTCCCCAGCCCCGATATTTTTTTCCTCACCAGCCAAGGCCTTGCTCCTCTCCTCCATTCTCCCTCCCATCCCCTCCAGCACAGGAGCTCCGCGTTCTCGTCCTCAGTGACCACCACGTACCCCTCTGACTTCTCTCCACCTCTCTTCTCAGTCACCTGCACTACCTTCTCTCTCCCATCTCACATGCGTGATCCCACCCCTTCTTTACACTCACTCTCCCTCCCTCCTCTCTCCCCCCCACAGTCTCTCAGCTGCTCTTCTGCTGCCACCCTCTGTGTCTGTCTTCTCTGTCTCCCCTTACCCCTTGCTTCCTCGGAGGCCCCCTTTGCCCCCTCCCTGACAATCTCTTCTCTCTCTTCCTCACTCTTTCTTTCCACCTGCCCTCCTGCAGTCCCTGCTCACCTTGTCCCGCCCAAAGCGCCGCAGGAACCTGTAGGGCCAGTCGTACAGCTTGGTGCCTGGCTCGGAGCCACCCCACAGTTCCAGGGCACTCTCCCCAGCCCGGAGGGTATAAGACCCCCGGAGCCGGCACCTCTCGCTGGCTTCTGTGGGTCTCATGGTCACAGCAAACTCCTTGAGGGGGGGCCCTGGGGAGGGGAGGGGACAGGAGGAGGAGGCAGTTAATGGGAAATAGCTGGGTCACCTCAACTCTGCTCCGCTCTGAATGAGCATGCCAGAAGTCTTATCCACGGACCCACGACCGCACAGCCTGCATTTTGAAGGATAAACTGCTCTGTGCCAGGCCATACTCCCTAAAATGCCACGCAACTCTACCCTCTACCCTAACAGGCACTGTGCCCTAGCCACATGCACCCCGACTGTGTGCCCACATCCTTCCTGCCCCTGTTGCCAGAGCCACAGCCTGTCTTCTCCATCTCATCTCTCGCCCCGATTCGGTTGCCTCCCCAGTCCTAGCGGCACAGCTCCAAGTGTGCTACCCTGTCCTCGTGGCTCTCAGTCCACCTGCCCACTACCCCTGCTATCCAGTACTCTCTGTGGGCTGAAGCCTGGATACCAGTGCTTGCCTGCTCCCTCCCCCCCCCGCGCACACACACCCAGCAGGCCAGACAGGTTGCAAGAAGGAAATTGCCTTGTCAGCAAAAAGCTCCCTTGCCGCAGGACACCTTAAATCCACAGAAAGAAAACCATTCTTTTTCACACAGTTGCTCAGTTCCCAACAACAAAGGGTTCAAGAGCAGCACCTCCACTGACCCTCAGCCTTGCCCCCAACCACCAGCAGCGCCTGGGCAAGAGGGAGAGGGCCACAGGTGAAGGGCTGGCCCTCCAGGCAGGCCAGGCACCCCCACCTTGGGCCGCACCCGGAAGCAGTGCGGAAGGCCGATAAGAGGGCTGGCCAGGCTGGGGGCAACCACAGGCAGGAAGGCTCCCTGCAGCAGCCCCTGCCCCCACGGCTGCACCTCCTCCTCACCACACCCCAGGCAGGCGGCCCCCGTACCTGTGGCTGCACTGCTGTACAGTTCGTTCTCCTCCATGCAGGGCCGGCTGCCCTTCCCCTCCAGCCCCAACAGCTCCTTCCTCTGGCCCTGGGAAGGAGGCCAGGGTCTCACCATTATCACCAATCCCAAGCCCCACCTCTGGTCGGGGCCTTTTTTCAGGGCACAATCACCTGCTGCCCCTGTCTGCTTTCTGGATTAGGTCCCCCCACCTCCACCAAGGAACCGGCCCAGCAGCCCAACCTTGGCTTTTACAACACCCGTCCTCAGCAAGTCCCGCACACACCCGAGCCTTCCTGCACCCCTGGGTGACTCACAGGGAAGGCCAGGAGACAGATGGCCTGCATCCAGTCACCGTGCTCTGCAGTGGGGGCCGCCAGCAGGTACGAGCGCTCCTTGGTCTCCAGGAGGAAGGGGCTGGTGTCCCGGGGGCTGCTGGCCTCCCCGCTGGCCTCCGCCACCCTCAGGCAGTCACTGAGGCGGATCACCCTCCGGGCAGCCTCTCCCCGACGCGGCTTCTCCGGTCCCTCCTGGAGCTCCAGCCGGGCCAAGGCGCAGCCCGACTGTCCATACAGCACAGCCCCGAAGCGACGCCATTTCTGAGCCCAGGTGCACGGCAGGCAGGGTGCCAAGAGGGAGCCGCCCAGAGATGGAGAGATGGTGACCAAAGGGGAGAGGAGGGGCCGTGGGAGAGGGACAGCAGCACGCGGGGATGGGGAGACCCAGGGAGGCAGAGAGAATAACGGGGCCTGAGGAATCAGAGAGCACCGGGTATGTACCACAAGCCATCAAACACAGAGCCTGCAGCGGCAAGCAGGGCGCATGCTGAAGGCAGAGAAGGCCGGTAATGAGCCCCATGGAGGCAGGCAGCAGGGAGGCCGGGCAGGCCCACTGCTGGGGATCCCAGCTGAGAGGCAGAAAGTCTGTGAGTCCCTGAAGCCCCCAAAAGGGTGTGGAGGCTGCCTGAGGCCCCCGCTGGAGACTAGCGCTCTTGCTGCGTGAGGTCCTGGGAAGGCCCTGTCTCCAGGAATTGCAGTCCACCCTCCTGAACCTTCCCTCCTCACCCTGGGCAGGTTGGGCTGTGAGAGGAGGCCTGGCGTGGGTCAGCTTCCTCATTCAGAGGCCAAGGAAGGAGTTTGGACACACTGGGGCGCTGGCTCCGGAGACCCAGCTCAAGCTTAAGACTAGCCAAACACACCCCGCTGGGTGGGAAATGAGAAAGGAATGTCTGCAGCAATCCCCAATTATCTCCTCTGATGTCCTTCCATTCTCCCCCAAGGTGTCCCTGTGAGAAGCCACCACGGAGCAGGAGAAGCAAGAGACAGTCAGAGCCCTTTACTCCCTCCCCCACCGGGTGGACAACAGCCAGCCAAGAGCACAATTTGGGGCCTGTTTGGGGAGGCAGGTGGCTGCTAAGAGCCCTCCTGTGCTTAAACTCTGGACTACCTTGGTAGGTGACATGGTCCCTGCCATCCCATAAGGTTTTCGGAACATTCTGGGGCTCCCTCTCCTCCCCAGGAACTTCGAGCAGCCCCCCAGCCCCTATGCCCAGCCCCAGCACGGCCCCGCTCCTCCTACCTTTCCGAAAGTCTGCTGCTGCTGAAGGTACAGGAAGCCCTGCCTCACTGCTCCTTCTTCCATCCTCCCACCATTGCGGAGCCCCCGCTTCGTGCCCTCCCTCCACTCCCGCCTCTTTCTCTCCTCTCTGTGGCCTGTGTTCCCCCTTCTCTCAAGTTCATTTCCTCTCTGCCTAGAGTTTTCTACACTATTCTAGTGTGCTTGATGACGACAGGCAGATAGGCCTCGTGGTTTCTTACTGCGTGCGTGTGTGTGTGTGTGTGTGTGTGTGTGTGTGTGATAAGCAAGTTTCACGCTCAGACTTCCTACATTTTCAGAAAGAGATGATTTCCCAAAAGCTAACTTCCAGTTCTTCAGTGAGCAACAACTTAGGTGCAGAAGTCACCAAAAAGGAGTCTTTGTTTTTTGGTGAGGAGTCACCAAAAAGAACTCACTGACTCCCTGGAACAAGAGACCCAGAAACCAAATGTGACCATGAAACAATAGCAAAAGGCCCCACACTCAAGCTGGAGGGTCAGCGTGACACAGCTGGTAGAGAGCTTAGAAATGAACCAGCCTAGCTCCCTGATTTAAAATCAGGAGACCGAGGCCCAGCAAGGTTTGAGGGGCATGTTCAAGGCCACCAAACCAGAACCAAAGTCTCTCAGCTCAGGAAGAGCTGAGCCATACACACCACCTGGTACACAGAACACACTGGAGCTCGTAGTTGCACACACAGCTGCAACTATTCCACTCAGGAAGTGCACCCCCTGCCCTGGACAACAGCACACATTCACACCACCTCCTTGAGAGTCTAGAAGCATGGGCATCTCCACCCTGAACCATCCTGTGCCCTCAGAGCATGTCTGCACTGTTATAGTTCACCTCCTCTCCAGCCTTTGTGAGTATTACAAAGATACTTGAGTTTCATCTGGAGATTATCTTTTTAAACTACAATTGCACTCTCTTACATTAAAAAACTTCCAGGCACAGTCTCACCAGCCATACTACCTACCCTTGGAAGAAGGAATGGCAGCTATGAACACACCAGCTTGCAACTCTCCTGAGGCCACAAGAAGAGTCCTGGAGGCAGAGGAAAAATTCCCAGGGCTCCTGATCTTTAATTCAACACTTTTTTTTTATTGCTGGCCCCCAAGTGGAATCTAGACTCCATGCAAGGAGATACATTGCTTCAGGGAAATCCGAGCTCTCCGGAGAGTATTTAACTTAGAGCCAGATGGTTTACGGAATCAGTCAGATGTAGGCACGGTGCAGAAATATTGGGGGAGCTGGAGAATTAGACCAGCATACTGGGGGTAAAGCCACAATGGGTGCTTCTGTAACCTGGCCATTTCTCAGTGGCCTTGGGGAGGATAGCAGAGCAGTGCAGTGCTCAGGCCCTCTGCTCTACAAGCCATGTGCTTTACCGGAACAGCTTTAGAGGACGAACGGTATGAGCTCTGGGATGACAGGGCTGAGTCACATCCAGCTCATGGCCCTCAGCCCTGCTGCCTGGGTTTGAACAGGTTGATTCAGAGACCAAGGGAGAACCAAGGATGCTGGAGTGAGAAAAGTTCCTCAGGAAGTGGTTAGGAGTGTGGAAATGGAACATGGCTAATTCTGTCTCTCCAGTCCCTAAGGAGAGGCTGTGTGGTCTTTGGCCAACATCAGCCTCTCCTTAGGGAGCAGGAAGAGAAGGGCTTTTCAGGCCATCCTTGGGGCTGCCAGAGCAGTGCCTTTCACCTTCAACGTGCAGATCATGTTAAAAGTGCAGATTCTGATACAGCACGCATTGAGCAAGGCCAGAGACACTGCTGCTGCTGCTGGGGGGGCTAGACCAACAGAGGATGTTCCCTTCCTGGCTCTGATGGCCTTCCCCTAACGCAAACTGGACACATTCCACCCAGAACCACAGGGGGGCACCCGAGCTTACCAGATTACTTAAAAGCTGTTTAAACCTGGAGGCCTGAGCCCTGGGTATTCCAGACAGTGCCATAACGTCCCTTGCCAAGGGCAGCTGGAGTCTCCTCCTGTGGCTGTTGCCCACAGCAAACAGGGCAATGGGAATGTACTAAGAGCAAGACCCTTCAAGGCCCCTCCTACTTACCCTGGCAGGACTTGCAGGGACACTGCAGTGGAAGCCTAACATTTGTACCTTCTGCCTGCCCACAGGCAAACGCTGTGAGAAGGGACCTGCAACATTTAGCTCCAAGACACAGCACAGGGGCTGGTTACCCAGGCACCAATAGTGGGAAGAGAAAGCATAAAGGGAAGGGACCCAGTGGTTTGTATTAAAGCACAGGTGGGGGCTAGAGTGCCCCTTGGCTTCTTGTGCTTTTACTGGAAAAGAAGGGACAGCCGCCACCTCACCTGTGCCTCAGTATAAGCCATCTGGCTCCTTTCCTACACAACAGTTTCCCCCAGCAGGAGTGAGGAACCACACAGGTCAGTAATCACAGCTCCAAGAACTTTGCAACTTTTTATTACTATTCTCATCAGTCATTAGCAACCAATCCTTGACACAAAGGGCTTGTGAGCTTATTTTGGGGGGCAAAACAGGAAGGAGCAGAGGCTTGCAGATTAGGTAACCCCCAAGTGATGGATAGGTGGAGCAGCTGCCCAAGGGGTGGCTCTGAGCACCCAACAGGAGAAAAGTTATGGAATGGGCAAGAAGCTGGCATGAGGCTGAAGGATGGAGGTGTCAACAAAGAAATTAGTGAAGAGGGGTCACAGATGATCCCATCCCTGCCTCCCCAATTCCAGTGGTTCAGTTATCAGTCTCTCAACTTGAATTCCTAGTCCTCACCCTTTCTCCATTGAGTATATCACTTCTCCCAGTACTAAGACAAGACAAACCCAGTTCTGGAAACTCTGAGAGGAAGGGCTTATCATATAACATAACAATTAACGTTACCTAACTTTGAGGTAACATTTCAAACACTTTATGTTCTCATATGAGCCCTATGCATACCCTAGAAAGAGACTGTGATACAAAGAAGTTAATTCTAAAACTATTTATTGAGCATCTACTCCATGCAGAGGTACTAGGGACATAGCATAAAGAAGACAGAATCCCTATTTTCATGTGGTCACTTTCTAGTTGGAGACACTGTAGATGAAAAGAATAAATATGTAAATAAATAGTTTTAGCAGACAGTGGTCAGTGCTGAAGTAAGACAGTGATGGAGTCAGGGGACAACTTTCAGCTGAGTAGTGAGAAAAGCCCCTCTGAGGAGATTATAACTGAATGAAGAAGTCAATGACAGCAGAGAACCAGCCACATAAAGATGACAGGGAAAAACATTCCAAGCAGAAGTGACTTCAAGTGCAAAGGCCCTGAGGCAGAAATACCGTGGATCTGAGGAACTCCAAGAAGCCAGAGTGACCACAGCACTGTGAGCAAGATGGGCATGGCAGAGACGAAGTCATATCACAAGGCCCCTTAGGCCACAGCAAAGATTTGGAATGTGTTCTAAATCCAATGGGAGGTCATGTAAGGATTCTTAAGCAGGAGTATAAATGATCTGATTTATGATTGTAAAAGAATGTTCTGCAGCTATGGAAAATAGGTTATCAAGGGGCAAGACAGGAAGCAGGAAAACTAGTTAGGAATCTATTACCATAATGCAGGAGAAATATGGTGATGGCTTGGACTGGCAGTTGGCAGTTGGCAGTGGAGATTAAGGGAAGGATACATATTAGATTAAATGGGACTTGCAAGTGGATTGGATGTGGGGGAGATACTATGAATCAAGGTAACTCCTGGGTTTTTAGTTTGAGCAACTGGATGAATGGTGCACCACTCACTCAGAGTAGACAGAGGGAGACACAACTATGGGGAGGAGGATTGGTGAGGGAGTGGGTCTGGGCCTGGCCCATAAGGAGCTGTTACTTCTACCTCATCAGGCAAATGGGGAAATGGAAAACTGCCATTGAATTGTGACTCCAAGAATATACCACGGTAGCTGCTAGGCCAAGGTAGCAAGCCCCTGACTCCCCAATCCCTGATGGATACACCAAGAGAACTAATTATTAGGAACTGAAAGGTTGTTGGAAAAACAAAACAAAACAAAACCAGAACATCTCGGGGGAAAGGCTTCCCAAAAGCAACACTCAAAAAGCCTCTGCCTCCAGTGTAAGAATATAGTAATTTATCCTCCATTTGCCCCATGGTCCCAAGCACATAAGCCAGTGAGAATTATGCGGGGGCTTGCCTGGGGCTTGCTGGGCTTACCCCACTTTATCTCTAAACATCCCGACCCTCCCCACAAGGCAACAGGCCTAGCAGATCCGCCACAATAAAAGGCACCTCTGCGGCCCTCTCTCTGTCTGTGTGTCTCTCTCTCTCTGTCTCTCTGCTCTCCCTGCTCTCTCCCTCTCTCTCTCTGTGCTCTCTGCTCTCTCTCTCTCTCTCTCCCCCTCTCCGCTCTCTCTGTCCCACTGCTCTCTCCCTACCCCCCCCATCCCCACCCCCCTCTGGGGCAGCCACTTTCTCCTTCAGATAATAAAGTCTCTTGCGTGGGCCCGTGTCTCCTGAGTCGTTCTGGGTAAGGAGGGTCGCGGCAAGATACCCTTTCATTGGTGCCGTGACTTGGATGAGGCTCTCCCATTGACTTTGCTCTTCCTCCGGGAACCTGAGCTGCTTTCGGAAACCTCACTGCGCGATCCTCCTCCACGGGCTCACCGTCCACTTCCCCCATTGCTCATCTTCTCACCCAACACCAGCCTTCAATTTGGTGAGTCTCCCCTTCATGGTGGACTTAAATGCCCCTTTGGAACCTGGGAAGTGACCGTTGAGTGTCTGGCACCCCCAAGGGCTCCTCTGGGACAGGGGCACCCCCAACCACAACTCTCAGAGTCACAGTTGATCCCCATAGTTGACCCATCTCTGCCTCCCCATGGTGAGAATCCTCATCCACTGAGGCCCGGTCTCCCTTTATCTGTGTATCTACTCCACTCGAAAACTCCTGGTACCAGGTACCGAGCCTCCCCGGCATTTTTGCCTCGACCCCACAGTTAGAGGTGGTGACGACCCCCTAACTGTGCCTGGTTTTCTCCGTGACCTTCTCAATCGCTCAGGAACACCTCAGCGACTTCTGAACGGTCTCATTCTCACCATGGGATCTGGCTCTTCCATTCCTGCAGATTCACCGCTAGGGTGCTTATTCAATAATCTAAAGCCCCTCC